AAATTAATAGGGCAGAGAATGCAAAACTTGGGAAACTAGAGGAAGGCAGGTAGCTAAATCATGTGTGTAACCCAACTGTTCTGGTTGTATATTGCTACCACACAAATCATCCCGAAAGTCAGTGGCATCCAGCAACCCCCATTTTATGATACAGATTCTGTGGGGCAGGAATTTGGATAGGAGACAGTGGGGCATGGCTTGTGTCTGCTCTATAATATCTGGGGCCTCATCGGAGATTGATTAACACAGCTGGGGATAGGAATCACCTGGAGATTTCATGTAAATGACTGGTGCCTGGGCTGGGATGACTGGAAGGATGGGCTCAGCTGGGACTGTCAACCAGAGCACTTATGCAAGGCTTGCCTCTCTGCAAGGCTCAGGGTTCCAAGAGTAAGCCAGCAAGCAAGGCAGAATCCCATGACATTGCGTGACCTAACCTTGGAAGTCATGTAACATCCCTTCCACCATACTCCATTGGTCAGAGCAGCACAAGCCCACTCAGATTCATGGGGAGGGGACATAAACCCCACTTCTCAATGGGAGGAATGTCAAGAAATTGGTGGCCTTGTCTTAAGAAGGCCACACCAAGGATCGATTTTCTCTTTCCCTTAAGGATTGCCTCCCTCTGGTATTCTTGAGAAAGGGACGTTCTCTCAATTCAGCTCCCAAATTGTCCACAAAACAACCAGCTGCTCCTCCATAAAGTGTGTCTTTTCCAGCTCCCCTGAAGGTCACTGCTCCCCTTGCTGAGGATCTTGGTGTCCAATAATGGATTGTGGTTTCAATGTTGTAATTCCGCTACCTCCACAACGGCCTACGTGGAGAGGGAAGGCAACATAAGGTAGGCCCTGTCTCTTACATCCCTTGGCAAAAGCATGATCCACATCTGTGTGGATTCATCATATTTTGTGAAACACTGAGAGAACCAAAAGGAACGACAATATATGAAGACAGTCATTTAAAACTACATTATGGGCCTGACTCAGCCCAGATTACAAAGGAAAAGTCTCCAAAGGGATAACAGGGAGTAGATCACATGTGTCTGCCCTCATGTCTTCCCTCATCTCTCTGAGAACCTCCTTTATAAAATCTGCGTTATAATCTTCATTCACTTTTTGAGAAATTCCAACTCTACCCATGAAGTTGTTTTGAGTTTGAACTCGAACTGAAGACATTGAGTTCTCTTTCTCTAATAGTATCTTTCCTTAAGTTGGAGTTATTCAGTCCATAGTGATACCCCAGGGAACTCCAGAGGGCTAGTCCACCACTATCACCAGAGTGGGCTTGGGCTCTCCAGATTCCTTCCGTTGGTGTTCTGAGTCTCAGAGACACATTCGGGAGTGATTCATCCAGTCTACATGGAGGCATCCCCATCGGTGTGAGTTAGAGAGCCATCTCGTATTTTTCTTATTGTCTTGCTGGTAATTGTTTGAACACACACATAGGTCTTTCAAGAATAAATATTTATTCTTAAAGGCATTTGAGGCTAAAAGCCTAAGAAGAGGAAATAGTGCCCTAATTGTCCCAGAATTTGCATGACCTCTCTGAGTATAGGGATTAGATTTCATTTCCTATCCTTTCCTCACTCTCCTTTCCAAGTTGTGTTCTCCGAGCCTCCAGGAAATTAGAAATTGACCTGTTGCTGACCATGTACAGTTTTATACAGAAGACCTGGCTGAAACTTTGAAATTATGCTTTTAAAGTCTCAAATAAACCCTCAGAAAAGGGCAAATTCTCAGTCAGCTTCTGTTAGGGAGCAGGGAGTGGAGAAGGTTCGAGGTGAGGCTGGCTTCATTCCTTAGAGTCTGAAGGAGTTAGCTCGCAGCAGTGCCAGGGGCCTCGCAGTTCAGCTCTGTAGCATGAAGCTGGCTGGTGGCAACAGATTTTGGCCCAGATTCATAGCCTGACCTGAAAAGCCAGTTCTGCTCTAGGCAAGAAGGCCATTCATGAGCAGATTCAACAGCCCTGTTCTTCCAGAAATATTGACTTTATATGTCACCAAACCAAGAGCCCAACCCTACAGAGCCTAGTGTTGAGGAGAGTAGTATAGGTTCTCCTAACCCTGCTCTTTGTTCCCCTTAGGCACAGCAGACCCCAGCCTCCCCAGTGAGAATACCTCTCCTTTCTCAGGGCTTTTATTTCTCTCTGTCTGCCTGGAGACAGTCCCTGGCCAGAGCAGCTGGGTTTGAGCCTCCCCATGTCTGCGTCCTCCCAAGTCACCTCCCTCTGTGGTCTTGTCAATTCAGTTCTGATTTCCCATTTGTCTCCTCCCTTTCTACTTCCTAAAACATAACTTCTGTATTTGCTGCTTGCTTCAACTCTGTTCTTCTAGTACTTAAGCCAATACTTTGAGTTCCATTCCAAGTCTCCAAACTCCTTGCCTTCCATCCAAGTCTCCAGAGTCACATGTCCTCCGGCTTTCAGAATGTTTTTAGCACATAATCAGTGTTATCATTCATTTATTAGATTTTGAAGTTTCTAGTTGGCTATTGAACCAGCATGAACATTAATGGTCAAAAGCAACTATAATTACTGAGATTCCCACTATGGCCCTAGCAAGAGGTCCCAAGTTGTTAGGTTGTAAGAACCATACTGACTTTGTAATGAATTGAATACGTTACAGTATGTTCAAGGTAAACCTCCTGAGATTAATTTACTCATTAACTTATTTTCATTTCATGCTTAAACCATAAATAATGTCAATCTTAGAGAACCACATTTTGATAGTTAGAGCTTTTGTTGGAAATGAAAGAGCTTTCATCTTCAGTAAATGGGATAGACTTCCATGTGAATATAAAATGTGATAATCATATTTATATATATTTTTGACATGCTAACACGCTCAATCATTTTTATTATAGCTTAGGTGTAGTAAAAAAAAATAAACGTTCCCCAAAATGAGCTTGAAGAAACATTCTTCAGTGACTCTCTTCTGAAATCTGAATCATGCTGCACTCCTGCTTGTTTTCCAGCTTCTGGAAGAGTCTGTTCCCCTTTGGAGACTGCTTTTTTCCATCTCTCTTTGCCTGGCCAACTCCTGGCCATCTCCTGGGACTCAAGATACCTGACATTCTCAGGTAGACTTTTCTGACTTACCCCACTCCTCTCCTAAGGCTTGATATCATAATACCTTGTACGTTATAGCAACGATTATGGTTGTGATTGAACATGAGGGCAAGGACTGTGCCCACTGCTGCTGCTCAGCCCTGTATTCCCAGTGCCTAGACCAGCACCTGGAAAAAAGCACAAACAAATATATATTGAATGATTTAGATGAATAATTAAATGACCCAGCTGATATTTGAATGAATGAGTGCATAGACGGGAACTGTAAGAAATGATTATAAGAAAGGTCATGGCTTAAACCAATTCTCATTGAAAACATGCTTATCTCATTTGTTGCACATAATCATTATAATGAACATCATTTGATTTCTTTTTTTTTAAATAAGATATTTGGTTGATAACTTATGTAACTTTCAATTTGTAACCATGAAATTGGGTCTTCAACTTTAGGCTACATAACAGTGTCCCATACAAAAACCATAAATAATACTGAACTTCCCTACTGACCTTTAACAGTCCAGATTTCTACTTTTATTTCTACCTATGTGGGTGCAAATCTCTGTCCTCCATGTGGGCAGTAGCAGAGGTCCTAGGTGAGGTTGCAGGCCTCGTCACCTAGAGCTGACTTAACTGCTGCTCTTGCTTGGGTCAATGGCATTTCTGCTAATGGATTCCCTGTTGACCCAACCTCATTCCCAAGACCCTTCTCTCCCACCCATCTCCATGCTAAAGAATGGAAAAGCTACCTAGCTGCTTTCTCAGCCTCCCTCAAAGCTAGTCTTTGCTTTGAGGCTGAGCTGGGAGAATGAGATACAAGAAGACCTTTTGTTGGTTGTTAGCATTCCTGACAAAAGGGACCAATGTTTCTAATGGCAACATCTTTTTTTTTTTTCCTTGAATGTGGACATGACGGGTAGAGACGTAGCAAACATCTTGCAATAGTGGGGCAATAAGCTAATGCTCTAAGGATAGTGGAGCAGATGGTAAAAAGAGCCTGGGTTCTTAACATAGTGACCAGCTCTGGACATTATCACATAATAAGAAATCCTAAGGTAGGTAAGGTAAATCCCTGCTTGTTTAAGCCTGCATTAGTTGGTCTTGCTATTAATTGCAGCCCAAAGCATACCTCACTGATAGAGCTAAATAGGCTATTTTTAGTCTGCTTCTTAATCTAAATCTAACTATACCCTTTATCTAAATCTAATCTTAGTCTAAATCTAAACTTAATTTAAACATAAATGCTTTAAGAAGGGGCCCTTCTGATGAGATCACAAACAGCCATTTATGAAGACACTATTCGAGATATTTATAAATCTAAGAATGACTTGGCCCTTTCATCTTACTTCGTGGCAAAAAAATAAGCCTCCTGCTATGTCTCTCAGATGTTATCACATAAAAAACTTTCAGGAATGTGACTCATTTTTCAGAAAAGGAGAAATAACTCTTTTCTCAACTTCTAGTTGGTCTAAAACCTAGGCACTACCTCCACTTTAATGTCCAAGTTATTTTGGAATTAACTAATTAATAACATATATATCAGCAAACAATGTTTAACATTCAGGCACCTATGCTGTGATTATATAACACGTGGGATGTGTAGAACAGCAAATCTTTTGGCCCGTTATACAACTTTAAATGAACTCATTCAGACTATGGTTATTAAATACTAAATGAAAATGCAGAAATACTTCCAAATTCACCTTATGCAAAGCCTCCGAAACGCTTAGCTCTTTTCACCTCTAGGAATTAGGGGAGCCTACAGCTTAGACTCAAACTCACAGAGTGAGTCCTTCCTCCTCAGTCTCTTCTCTCTCCTTGCCTTTTCCCTCAAAGCCCAATGTTAATAGGTTGCACATGCCATTAACTGAGCCTCCGTTCCTACCCAGTCAGCACTGCCAAGATGCCTTGACTTTCAGCGTGTCTCCCCAGTTCCTGGCTTTGGTTTCACGTGCTCTGCTCTGAAGCACTCTCACATGAAACCAGGATGATCTGCAGGGCAGCACTGTGGAAAATGTGAAACATCAGGCATACGATAGATTTTTCAAATCTGGACTCAAATCAAAACTTGGCTTGTTTGCTGTCTGGCTGATAAGGATGGATGAGAGATGAAGACTTTGCTTTGCTGTTTCCACCGCAGAATCTGAGCATTCATCTTAAAAGGGACATTTCAGATGAAAGAGGTAATTAAGCTGGACAGTCTTTTGTTTTCTACCCTGCTGGGAATCACTGCTAACATAGGAGCTGCCTGGATGATTAGATGGGCCAGGGGCTGGAGATGGGGAGGAGGCAGGCGCAGAGCAGCTGGATCTCAGTCTCCAAACCTGTCAAGGCCTTGGGAAAGTACTGACTGCACTCTGTCTGTGGCAGGGAAACCGTGCCTGTCAGTGGTGGCTGCCTCCCTCGAGAGGGAAGGGAGTGATTCAGCTGAAAACTGGCCTCATCTGTCTTGAGCAAGCCTACTGTTCTTAGGCCGCTCACAGCTGGTTTTTTGGTCAGAAAAATTCTTGCATTTGAACTTTCAAGATGTGTAGGGTTGTATAGGGTATTTTCATGAGTTTGTGGTGTGTCTGCTTTGCCTCTGCAGAGGCAAGATGTCACATCTGTCATGTCTGTTTAGGGTTTTACAGTCTCTTATTGATTATTCTTTACAGACCCCAGGAGGGAACTGGGCTCTCTAAGCATGAACTGGCAAGCTCACGCTCATTTAGCTCACCTGAGTGCATTGGGGCTTTTTTGATTCTGACATTCTTTCCTTTGTATAGTTTGGGGGTGACTGATTTTACCAGATTCTGTTTTGGTGGCCCATTCATATCTAACAGTATTTTGGAAATCACTAATTCTGACCATGACCCTTAAAAAGAGATACAATTTATATCACAACCTAGAACCTCTTCTAAACGTTTTTACGTGCAGTGTACTCTGATAGTTTCTGCTTTATTCCATTTTATTTTTTTAAAATGCTGATCGTGACTACTAAATTTATTTCATGACTAAGTTACACGTTGCAGTTTATTTATTTATTTTAATTGTTGTTGGCTTAGAGTTGATTTACAGTGCTGTGTTACTTTCAGCTGTACAGCAAAGTGAATCAGTTATACATCTCCACATCTCCACTCTCTTTGAGATTCTTTTCCCATATAGGTCATTACACAGTATTGAGTAGAGTTCCCTGTGCTCTACCGTAGGTCCTTATTAGTTATCTATTTTATATATAGTAGCAACTTGCAATTTAAAGAACGTTGGGATATCATAACCAATTTCAAAGGACAAATGGCGTCTACCATGCTGAAAGGAATGGTGTAACTCTAAATTCATGGGTGTTAAAAATTATCCATGCTACCTGTGGTAGACAAAGCTCTAGGATGGCCCCCAGTGATTCCTGCCTCCTGGTGGTCTGAATATAGACAGGGCCCACTGACTTGAAACTGCTTAATAGAATACGGTAAAAGTGACGGGATGTCATTTTTGTGGTTGGCTTACAGAAGACTGCGACTACCTTCTTGCTCACCCTTACTCTTGTGCTAGCACTCTCTCTCTGGCTCTTCCCACAGGCTTTCTCTAATCACTTAAGTTGGAGAGGTCCATGCGGCAAGGAACTGAGGTGGCTTCTGACCAGTTGCAGATCATGCCCCAGCTGAACCTTTAGATGAGACCACAGTCCCAACCCACACCTTGATTGCAGTCTTGTGTGAGACCCAGCTAAAAGTACCTGAATTCCTGGCCTGCAGGAACTGTAAGATAATGAATAGTTGTTGTAAGCAACTAAGTTTGGGGGGCAATTTGTTAGCCAGCTATAGATAACTAATACACTATCTCTTAGTGAAACATAAGATTGGCGTCTGCACTCTTGGTTTTGTAACAGTGCCCACTTGCCATCATGTACACAATGAAAAAGACATTCAGAGCTCTGTCTTTGCTTTGATATACAACACTAGCCTAGTCATTGACAAAGAAGCTTTTGAAACTTGCTTCTGAAAGCCAGTGATTAAAGACTCCTTCAGCACCAACAAGATGGAAAACTTTAGAGTTATTGTCATCTTAGTGTTAAGCACTATTTTATTACAGGAGCACTCTAGTTGAGAATATTTGGAGAAAGGCCATGTTAAATTGCTTGATTTGACAAAAGAGGGTTTTCTGAACTATGCAGGACGAGACATTTACGAATAACCCCATTGTCCAGAGTCGCATCGTGTACATACTTCCAAATGCTAAAAAATGCCACAGGGCTCAGTCCTCAGGTACCTTCTCTTTTCCACCTACGTTCACTACCTGAGTGATCTCAGTCAGTCTCATGGGTCTAAATATCATCGAAATGCTGATAAAAACTTAAAAATATGTCTCAAGCTTCAACTTTTCCCTTGAATCCCAGATTTCTCTCTCCAACTGCCTACTCAACATCTCCATTTGGACGTCTAATAGGCATCTCACACTTAACACATTCATCTTCAAATCCTCACCCCCTTCTCACTTTCTTTCCTCTCAAAAAATGACAGTTCCACCCTTTGGTTCTTATGCCAAAAAATCTTAGAGTTATTCTTGTCTCTTGTCTTTCTCTCACAACCTACATCTAATCCTTTAGCAAGTTCCATTAGTTCTTCCTTGAAAATAATCCAGGACCTGGCTGCTTCTCAGACCTCCGGTCCAAGTCTTTAAAGAGCCTTCCTAGATGGTTTTCCCACTTCTGCCTTTGCCCCATATAGCCCGTTCTTAACATGGCATCCAAGGGGATGTAATGAAAGCAGAAGTTGGGTCCTGCACCCCTGCTCAAAACACGGCAATGGCTCTATCTCACTTGGGATAGAAGCCCAAGTCCTTACAAATGGCTCATGGTGCCTGATTTAAACTGCCCCTCCTTTCTCTCAGGCCTTAACTGCTGTCACTCTGCCCTCTCCCTAGCTGCAGTCATACTGGCCTCTTCTTTGCAAGTTTCCATTGTTGCCGTGAATGCTTTTTTCTTCAGATATCCACATGGATCATATATTCAGTTCTTTCGGGTCTTTGCTCAAATACTAGTAGGTCTACCTTGACCACCTTTTTATAAATTGTAGTCACCTGTCCTGTGCTCCCAGAAACCGCTATCCGTCTTCCTCATTGTATTTTATTTTTCCATATCACGTCCACCTGCCATAACACACACTTTACCTTCAAACGCCATACCCACCTACATTATTGTCTGTTTCCCAGCATTACAACCTGAGCTCCATGCGGGCAAACATTGTCTGTATCCTCAGAGCCTAGAAGAGTACTTGGTTCAGACTAGACATCACTAACTGTTCGCTGAATGGATGGATGAAGCTCTTTTCTCCCAGCCATTCTTTGCTTTTCTATTCACATTACAGGTATTCATCTGGTACTCCCCGAGCACCAAATGCTCAAGGGAATCCAGCGTAGAGACTGGTCATGGAGAGAACAGTTACACATTTTGTCTTTAATTGCACATCACACTTGTGTGAAGTCTGATTTCCTGTAGGCATGGCCTTATTTCTTTCAGCTTTGGCCTTATGCACTGGTGATAGTTTAAGCAACTGTAAGGGGAAAAAAACCACATCTGGGGTCGCAATGGTCTAAAAGAAGAATATTGAATTCAATGGAGATCTAGTCCGTGATTAATAAGAGCAATATTTCTGCATGCAGGAGGCATGAATACACATTAGAAGCAAGTTAGTCAGAATAAGGAATAATAAACCGTTGAGAACTGGGATTTAGAATCTTTTTCGTTTCTGACTCATCCTTAGACTTTGAACAAAAATCTCATGACACCCCATCATTAGCACATAGTGACAGTCTTAAAATATGTATATGCCTTTTCCCCCTAGACAGGACTGTTTATAAATACTAGAATTGATTAATATCAAAAGACCTGCCCACATAATGGAAAGGAATGCTGCAGAGAGAAGCCAGAAGCCATGGACACTGCAGCTTGCATTCTTTTCTGAAGGCATCATGCTTTAGGGGAGGAACAAAGGCCCGTTTGCTGAATTAGGGTTGGGGTGGCAGTCAGAACTTCAAATTTCTTGGCATTCGCTAGTCTGAGGCGTAACTTTCTGAATACTTGAACGCAATTACATGTGGTTTCTTAAAAGAGCTTCAAACAAAGCAAATTATTTAAGGAATGTCTGTCCTAAAGGACATATCATTTAGACAAACTATGCTTTAGTCCCTCCAGACCTGAATATACCTGATGCTTTAGTCCCTCCAGACCTGAATATGCCATGAAAGAGACTTTTTCATGAATTGCTGGAATTTTCAACAACACAAAAGACAATAATCCTGGGAACTCAAATTTCTGCTGACTCATGGTATCCAAACTGCCCCAAATGTTCCTTACTAATAGTTCTCTTAAATGCATCATTTCAAAGCAAAAATCGGCTTTGAAAACATGCAACCAGACCTCATTTACCAGGGAGTCTGAAAGAAAGCACGTGGGGCCAGTGTGCAGGCGTGGTGAGCATATTTTAGGACATTTTCGTAAAAGGAGATGTGTAATAGTACAGTATTTCATGTATGTAATCACTTGGAAAGGGGCTAATCTGGGTGTTTAGAAATGTATAGATTTTCTTTTCCAACTTGTGCCTCATTCTTAATAATATTAATATCTAATATCTATTGAGCACTTTATACATCTAGGTAAAGTGCTTTAGACAGATTACCTCACTAATTCTTACGGCAGCTCTACGAGATAGAAACATTATTATTCCTATTTTGCATGAGGAAAATGGGGAGTAGAAGATTAAGTCATTGCCCAATTTAGTCTACTTTGTAGTCTGTGGGACCAGTTCGTACTCTGGTCTATATGACTGGAGTCCCTGCTGCTCAAGTCCCAGCAAGCCCCCTTGGGCCCACTGCCCTCTCTGTCATCCAAGATAATTGCGTTGAGCTACTTAATGGCAGTGCTGCAGCCCCCTCTCTCCCAGGAGGGTCTGGCTGGAGCCAATTCTGTGAGGTTCCACCGTCAGGAAATTGTTGGTGGTCCATCTCCAAGTGCACCTCTTTGCTGTACCTTTAACCTGATGATATGGCCGGCAGCCGGCTTTAAAAAGTGGGGCCAGAGCCAACACTTGTCAGAGGCCTATATGGTTTGGGAATACTGTTTCTGAGGATGAGATTAGATCCTTAAGGATTTATTCTAATACTTTGCTTTCCCAAAGCACAGTCCTGTGGTTTCATACCCCTTTCTACT